TGCAGAACGGAGAAAAATAGAGAAAAGCTTTCCCCCCCTCTCTTATTGTTATGTATGCATGCACTTCAGACCTCCTGGAGCTCAGCAGCTTCATTTGCATAACAAAAGACAGAGGATTCTAAAACCCTCCAATGACATTGTTAGTAGCTGGCAAGCCACCAATCCCTGCTGTGATAGGGCCAGTGTTGTGATTCGTTAATTGCAGCACTAAGGCGACCTATCACAGGCAACCTGTGTGTTTTGTCTGGGCCGGCTTAAGGTAAATATACTGGGCCAAGTGCCCCTGTTTGTCAGTCTTGTTCTTCTTGTTCTGCTGTTCCAGCAAATACTTTTTAAGCTGAATCTCAGACCTGAGTTCATGCCTGCACCCACCTACACATCACTTATAACACTAGAACTTGTGGACAACCAATGAAGCTGCATGTTGGACGATTCAGATAAAAGAAAGTACTGCTTCACGCAGCGCATAGTTAAACCGTGGAACTTGCTCTCACAAAAGGTAGTGATGGCCACTAGCCTAGAGGGCTTGAAATATCCATGCCTACTAGCCATGATAGGGATGCGGGTGGCGCTGTGGTCTAAACCACAGAGCCTAGGGCTTGCCGATCAGAAGGTTGGCGGTTCGAATCCCCGCGACGGGGTGAGCTCCTGTTGCTCATTCCCAGCTCCTGCCAACCTAGCAGTTTGAAAGCACATCAAAGTGTAAGTAGATAAATAGGTACCACTCCGGCAGGAAGGTAAACGGTGTTTCCGTGCGTTGCTTTGGTTTGCCAGAAGTGGCTTAGTCATGCTGGCCACATGACCCGGAAGCTGTACGCCGGCTCCCTCGGCCAATAAAGCGAGATGAGCGCCGCAAACCCAGAGTCGGTCACAACTGGACCAGGGGTCTCTTTACCTTTTACTAGCCATGATGGCTGTGGTCTGCCTCCACAGTTGGGAGCAGGAATGCTTCTGAATACCAGTTGCTAGAAACCACAGTGTCAAGGCTGCCTCAAGTCTTAGCTCACAAAAGACCAACGCCTACGTCTTCTTGTATACAAAGGTGTTTATTGCAGTTCATGGTTTGCTTGACATCCTAGGCGCGCAGCCTTACGTCTCTTACGCTAGACCGCCGAAGTCCCCTCTGAGTCAGTCCCTCCTCTGCACCAATTTAAGAGACTTGCGCTGCTCCACCTCTTTCTCTCCTTCCTTTTCCGCAGGGTCCTTCTACCCACTTGGGTTTCGCCCCTCCTGGATTCCTCTGACGCGGAATCAGACTGCTCTTCCCCCCTCCTGCGGGCTTTGGGACCTGGCCCCTCCTCCGGGCTCCCTGCACTTCCGCGCGCCTCTACATTTGAACTAGGCGCGCGCCAAACCTCTAACTTTCCTTTTGACAGTTACACTACTCCCTTCACTGCTCCCTCCCCTTCCGGGAGGGCGGCTTGCTCTGACCCCCTCCTTTCTCTGCTGCTGGAGCTGCTTCCTCTGACACACTGGAAACTCCACCCCTTCGCTGCACTTTGGTGGGGAGGCTGGTCCTGACGCCCAGCTGCCACTTTGGGATCCTCCGCTGGCACCCTGCTCCTGACACTTCCCCCTGGGGCTCCCTGGCCTTGACCACCGGCGCCCCTTCTGGGAATCCTCTGATTCGCTGGAAAGACTCATGGAATCCCTTGAGTCATTGTCATCCTCTTCCTCGCTGGCTTGGAATTCCTCCCCCTCGCTCTCCATCTCCTGCCTACCCTGTGCCTCTCTCCCTGAACCCCTGACACACAGGATGAGAGAGAGCTGTTGCGCTCAAGTCCTGTTTGTGGGTTTCCCACAGGCATCTGGTTGGCCACAAGGATGCTGGACTTGGTGGGCCACTGGTCCAATCCAGCAGGCTGTTATGTATGTTTTTGCAGAAATTTGGGAAGTTGTATATTGGCATTAAGCCAATAGGCTTCCTTTGAAAGTAGGAATTCTTTTGGCTTGGTCACACGCTGCCTGCCCCTCAATTCACCTCAGTCGCCCCCCTGGCTACAAACATGCACATTCTTAAGAACCTGTATATAAACTGTACCACATCTGACTGTACATGGTTCATGTGATAGAATCACGACCAACCTTACAATGCAGTGATTTCTTTTCCTTCTGACTCACCTCCCCTGTTCACCACCTCTCAGCCTCCTGGCTCTCCTGCAGGACTCCACCCATCCACCTTGGCTCTCACCTGGGGCCCCAAGTCACAGATCAGCCCCACCCCACCCCAAATCTCACAACAAATAGAGCTCTTAGAACTTGGTGACATAACTATCATCTATCTAGGATTACTTTTGTGGGCAGGTAAACTAGAATGAGAGATCAAAGTAATGTCTGCAGGTTCCAGGAATCCACTTTATTGTTTTGGGGGCCCATATCTTTAGCACTATAGGAAGAGAAAGTAGGGAGCATATAACAGTGCCCAAAGCATTTTCACCCCACCCCTATTTTAGCATCTAATCACAGTGTCTGACTGAAGATAGTTGGCCTTTTCTTTTTTGGGGGACTTATGGAAATAATTTTAAGGTGCATGAGCAACATGAAATGCATTCCACATACCACATGTGAAAGTTGACAATCTCAAGACAAATTCTGTATTCACTCTGTGAATTCATATTGAATGGTGTGTGTGCGGGCTTGTAGGGGAAAGTTTTGTGCTTGTGTGGGATCCGGGAGTATATGCAGGAATACAAAAACACTGAAAGACAGATTATTTGTCTGCTGGTATCCCTTGTGACCTAAATCTGTGTTTAAAATATGTCTGGTTGTATCCGGAATAATATGCACATCTTTCATCAGGAAGAACTGTAATTTCCTTAGCATCTACTCAACAGAATACTCATTGCTGAGTTAGTACTCTAAGGAAACCTTTCTATTTTCTCTTTAAATATAATATGGAATTAGATCCTACTTCATGCCGAAGCCTTTGATTTTTCTAATAGAAGAGATTCTTTTTCACTTAGTACAAATAAATGTGTAAATGGCAGAACCAACATTTTCCATATTTGGCAGAACTAGCAGTATTGGCAGGAAGGATAAAAATGTCAGTCTCTGTATGAACTAGGAGCCAATCTGCATGAATTTGCTCTTGATGCTGGAAATGAGGGATGGGGTTGAAGGTCTGCTAAGCATAAGATGACCCACCCAGAAAGAAACAGGCAACTGGCTCAGTCTTGGCAACCTTGCAGTAGAAAGAAATGCCTGCCTCACAGAGTTGTTGTGAGGATAAAATGGAGAACCATGAAGGCCACTTTGAGATCCTTGATGAAAACCCCAGTAGGTTGCAGGAGGAACCTATTGAAGATTCCATGCAAAGAAATAGCCCACTTCACGAATTGCAACTTCATATGACTGTGGAAAGTGAGTGGAACGTGAGTCTGAAACCATGTGTATGTATTTTATTTGACACACAAAATTCCCTGTCACCATTTCCTCCTTGCAAATGGGACTTGTAGACATGGATTTTTAGAAAACATTTTTGTGTGTGTAAGTCTGACAGACTTGATGTTGGAGGTTTGCTAATTTATATTAGCCCCTTAGCCTGCTCAGTCTTTCTTTCAACATTGTCTTGGACTACCGTACGCTTCACTATAAAAATATATTGATATGGAGGAATCTTTAAAAAAAAAAAAGCACAGCACTTAATTATAGCAAAGTACCTCCCAAACTTTAGATAGCTAAGATTAAAAATAGTGGCATTCTATTTATCAGTTTATTAGCAAGGTTGTTAATAGAGAGATTTGTTCACTGATTTAAAAATATACATATTGAAATTCCACTTCTCCAGCAATCAGTTTTTAAAATGTGCAACTGAAAATTGTCTTGATTGCCTAAGCTGTAACCTTGCCTGTCATGTGAGCAGCTGAGCTGTGAAGCCTCTCAATTTGACAGTATTTCATGAAAATGCTGACAGTTGGTCTTTTGCTCTGAATCTGGAATTACAGCAAATTATCCTAGTGTCATAAAAGCTCTGTAAACTTCTAGTTGGGTTTGGCTCCTAAATGCTTTCTAAATTGTTTGCCTCTTCTAAGGAGCGAACTTCTCTGAGTTATAAATGGAAAGCATGTCAAACTTTTGCTGGAATTATCATTCTAAATTAAATCAAGGAACAGGTTTGGGTGCATTTTGTGGAATTTAAGCACATGAAGTTTCTCACTGTGAGAATTCTGAGAAACAAGAAGTCTGTGAGCAAAAGGGAGATAAGCGAAGTGATATGCAAAAGAAAAGCAATTTTGAAAGGTCAAAGAACATTGCCTCAGACAGACTCATGATCCTGAAATTAGGAATTTGAAAGAGCCCACCAGTTCAGTCCTGATGTTGTGAAATATGGACTGGCATTTAATTTTGTTGTTGTCAGATTTTCCAAGAAAGAAATTAATGTTCCAGATAACAGATGAAGTGCTAATGAAGTGTCCCCGGTCTGGATCTAGGGCTGATATTAAGCAGATCAGATCTTCTAACGTTTGTAGGCACACACAGGACATTTTCTGCTGCTGTTTTATGTGGCTTTGGCCTAACAATAAAGGATTCAGCCATATGGCTATATGGAGATTGTAGACACACCATTTCTTTGCATCTAGTTCCTACATAACATTTCCACAGGGCTCTCTGCCAGCTTGTGTAAGACTCTGAAACCTAGGGACTCAGCTAGATGGGTAAGGAAAAAGTGTTTAATATGCGTTGTATATGCAATATAACACTGTGAAACCAGATGGCGCTGTGGAGTCCCATCTTTCCCTCCCGGATTTCCCTGTATGAGTTTGCAACGTGCTTAACTGAATCGCTTCTTTGACGTGTCTAGATGCAGCCCTAGTCAGTTTTCACATTTAAGGCACAGGGGTCTTGAATCAGGAACTTTGGCAGTGAGTAATAATAATAATAATAATAATAATAATAATAGAAATAAAAACAAAAAACCCACAAGCCTTTTGCAGTTAGGAAAATGCACTGGAAACTGACCAGTGAGAATGAATGCTCCATAAACATCAGACATCATATAAGCCGGGAAAGCTCATTCAGTAGCAGAGCATCAGACTCTTAATCTGTGGGTCGTGGGTTTGAGCCCCACGCTGGGCAAAAGATTCCTGCATTGCAGGGGCTGTACTAGATTACCCTTGTGGGCCCTTCCACCTCTATAGTCTATGATTCCCTGCAAACTTTGCAGAAACAAATCAGGAAGAACGCTCCACAAACAAGCCACCTGGACATGACTTAAGACAGCTCAGTTGTGACTGGAAAACAGGCTGATTCCATAACAGCAGAAGATGTCTTATGAGAGTGCTCCTGATAGTTCTCAGAGCTCGTGTTCCTGAGGGTGAAGACAGGTATAACAGGAAAACAAAACTTACTCAGCAAATTGTCAAGCTCTATTATTGGTCTGCTTTCAACTTGACAACTGAAATGGCAAGACATCCATATCAGAAAATAGGATATAGGATCAGTGCTGCTTCTCCACCATCCTACCCTGCTTCAGATATACTATCCATGATGTGGGTTTGTTTATTTAAAAGAGCATTTGGGACTTGATCTGTACATTTGTTGCTTGATTCAGTATGTGGTTTGTTTGCATTTTAAATTAAAAGTGCAAAACTGTTCCCAGGTCTGGGGAAGTTTCTGTTTAACATCCAAGGGCACCAGCAGGTCAGTGGACAACTCCGCAGCTTCTGTCTGCTTAAAGTTTGTGGAACCACTGTTTCTTTCAGAGCTCGATTCTGAAGAGAAACAGGTACTTTTGAACTCCTCCAGAGTGACTCTAAAAATGTTACTTCGTCCTCAGACACCCACTGATGGCATGCATACATAAAGAACACCAAGTGATCAAATGAATGAGCAGTATGAGCAGAACCTTTAGTATGCAGACAGACTAAAGGAAATAAATTCACTTAATGATTCTGCCTGCATGCGTGTCTTAACCACAAAGCCTGGAAGTGTAGAAATATATTTTAGGATTGGGAATTGCCAACACTACATTCAGCTCAGTCTGCAAAGGTAAATACAAGAGAGGCCTGTAACTCCTGCTGTTACATCTGGAGAAATGCTTACCAAGCTTTCTAAGAGTCCTGTGCACCTCTTGCCATAGTCGGGTGTTGGAAATGGCATAAGGCCCCGTGTTTCCATCACAGACAAATACCCCCCCCTCGTGCTTCATTTTTTCTCCTCAGACATATGGCAGTGCGGATCATAAAGTTACATCATTCCAAGTACTTTCTTGCCTCTAAGGAAATTCTCCTTCAGTAAGTAAATAAAGCTAGCAATAAATTTGAATTAAAACTCTTTTGTGGATAACGTTTAAAAAAATCTGCACAGCCAAACACCTGGAAGGGCGGGGGCAGGTGGTGGAGGGGAGGGAGAGAAAGCTGTACTGCTTTCCTTCACAACTTTAAATGTTGACAGAAATGAATTGCGCTGTCAATGGTGCTAGTTCAGTATCAGATCAGTGGGACTTCATAATTCTGTTTGTTGTTGTTTAGCCGTTAAGTCATGTCCGACTCTTCGTGACCCCATGGACCAGAGCATGCCAGGCACTCCTGTCTTCCACTGCCTCCCGCAGTTTGGTCAAACTCATGCTGGTAGCTTCAAGAACACTGTCCAGCCATCTCGTCCTCTGTCATCCCCTTCTCCTTGTGCCCTCCATCCTTCCCAACTTCAGGGTCTTTTCCAGGGAGTCTTCTCTTCTCATGAGGTGGCCAAAGTATTGGAGCCTCAGCTTCATGATCTGTCCTTCCAGTGAGCACTCAAGGCTGATTTCCTTAAGAATGGATAGGTTTGATCTTCTTGCAGTCCATGGGACTCTCAAGACTCCAGCACCATAATTCAATGGGACTCTCAAGACTCCAGCACCATAATTCAAAAGCATCAATTCTTCAGCGATCAGCATTCTTTATGGTCCAGCTCTCACTTCCATACATCACTACTGGGAAAATCATAGCTTTAACTATATGGACCTTTGTTGGCAAGGTGATGTCTCTGCTTTTTAGGATGCTGTCTAGGTTTGTCACTGCTTTTCTCCCAAGAAGCAGGCGTCTTTTAATTTCGTTCCTGCTGTCACCATCTGCAGTGATCATGGAGCCCAAGAAAGTAAAATCTCTCACTGCTTCCATTTCTTCCCCTTCTATTTGCCAGGAGGTGATGGGACCAGTGGCCATGATCTTCGTTTTTTTGATGTTGAGCTTCAGACCATATTTTGCGCTCTCTTCTTTCACCCTCATTAAAAGGTTCTTTAATTCCTCCTCACTTTCTGCCATCAAGGTTGTGTCATCTGCATATCTGAGGTTGTTCATATTTCTTCCAGCAATTTATTTCTTCCAGCAATAACTCAGAGAAGCTACGAGCTATGCCGTGCAGGGCCACCCAAGTTGGACAGGTCATAGTAGAGAGTTTTGACCAAACGTGATCCACCTGGAGCAGGAACTGGCAAGCCACTCCAGTATCCCTGCCAAGAAAACTCCATGGACAAAGACAACAGGTATAATTCTGTTAAGGGAATGAAAATCAAGCAGTGATGGGCGGCTTAGTTTACTGAAGCATTTTGTGTACTGAACTTCATTCATATATATATATATAGAGAGAGAGAGAGAGAGAGAAAGAGATCTCCTCATAGTTGTTATTTCAGGAATGAGACATGTTCCTCTTCCTTTCAGGTCACAAAATACTGAGGGTGCGGCTCAGTCCATGCTCGTAACTCTCAACTTCACAGACTGATCAGCACAGGCTTCACACTCTAGAATTCTTTCTGTAAGTGCCATAGAGATGCCCTGGGCAAAACAGTAGCTGCATTTTTCCAGGAACACTCCACATTTCCAGGTTTGCTCAACTGTCAAAAAAACAAATGTGGGAGAGAGCAGCAGTTTATGGTTATCCTGCCTGTAGTTACATATCTACATGTCAGCTTTCCTCACTTGAAACTAATGTGCAGTTGATCCTCCATCATATTTATATTTTTTCCTGCTGGATTTTATATTTTCCAAAACAGGGAACCAGCTACTAAATATTTCTTCATCACACGTTTTCCTAGGTGTAACCTGAAACCTGAACAGCACTTTGAAGAGTCTAATCTATTGTGTCCGATATGCCTTCACATACTCCATCTTAAGTCTTGTGACTAAATGCAGACTTTGTGGCTTTAATACCAAGCCAGCTTTTAACATTTTTCTCTCCCCACATCCGATTTGCATAACATGCAGCCTGAACTCAAAAGGTTTCTCACACTTTTGTGACATTTTGCTTGGGTTATAAAGTTATTATCCCACTGTGGATTCCCCCCCCCCCCTTTATGGGCCAAATAGATATCTTTTTCTACCATGTTTTAGAGCTTGGTTATAGTTTACTGCAGTACTAACAGTTGACAGTTCTTCATGAGGTGAAAAAGACTGATGTCCATTTTGAAAACGTCTTCCGCTATTGCTTGTTGTGAAGAAAAGCATGCTGGGAGATAAGGAACAGACTTCTTGACAATGTGTCCCATCTGGTTAAGAGACAATTGAATCAGTATATCCAGTTATTAATAAAACAGAACACACACAACACATGCCTTCACTGCACTCTATTGAAAAGGCACTGGGTCCATAAGATTTCAGGGAAGAACTTCAAAGTATCCTGTGTGCTAGTCTTTCTACCACTCTCAGAAACGCTAGAGGATTAATAATACACTAGGTCCTCCTACTCATCCTCTAATCTACCATTCTCTATGGAAAGGAAACTGCTCTGACACAAGAATTGAATTTGTGCTCCTGGCCTTGTCAGCAAGAAAAGAGAGCTCTCATTATGTAAGTTATTAATACCTCTCACATTAAGTACCCCGTCTTCTAATTTAAACGTTTCTTACACTGTCAAAATAATCTTTTATACAGCACATTTTTGCATCTTTCCATATACCACAATCACAGCATACATTTAAAGCACTATGATACCATTTTACACATTCATAGCTTCCCCCAAAGAACAATTAATTTGTTGGGGGGAGGGGCTGAGAGTTGTTAGGACACCCCTACTGTACTTCCCTTTGCAGAGGTACAATTCCGAGCTCCTAGGAAGAGGAATTGATTGGTTTTTGTTTTTTTCTTTGCTGTTAATGTTTTAATGGGGTTAAAACAATGGTTAAAAAGTTAGAACACATCCTGGATGGAAATACTCAACAGTTGTTTTTTTTAAGAGGACTGAAGAGGAATTGATTGTTAAGCCTCTCTGGAAATCGCAGAAACAGCTTGTTTCCCTTTAAGGCTCCCATTGTAACATTTTTCTTCTGAAGGAAGGGCCTCACTACATGTTGCATTAATTGCGTGGCTTGCAGCCACATCATAGATTATTATTATTTAATAAAAACCTAGGCATGGGGAGGGCGAAGCATTTCCATAGGAACTGCAGTACGTGGGGGGGGGGGCAGGGAGTTAGAGGGCTCATTCACACTTCCTATTGTCCCTTTTTGCACTCAGTTGTAGGGTTTTCTCCAAATTAACATTTCTACTGATTTAGGACTAAAGAGTAGGCTTTCCCTTAGAATGAAACAAGGGGGAAACCGCTAGGACCCATGCTTGGAAAGTGTTTGCCAAGTGGAAAACACCTTGGACTCGTTCTTTCTAGGCCCAGGACAAGGGGAAGGTTGGACAAGCCCTAAGACTTCTTTCCGCAGCCACAGCTGCGATGGAAATTGCTCCCTCACTAGTGGTAGAAAAATGTTCTCATCTCTTTAGCTTTCAACTAAGCATGAAGCCTTATTTTACTTTTCAGGCTGATTAACTGGTAAGTAAAATGCTTTTCTTTCAAATAACCACAGGGGTTTAGCTATGGGATGTGTTGTAAACAAAAATTGCCCTTTTCCCTTATGGGGTATCCAAGAGCCCATATAGAGTCCTTACATAGGTTCCCAATTGGTAGGAGAGAATAACAGAGGCCAACCAGAGAATATTGAGAAGTAAAGCAGCTAGTAAGCTTGATCTTTATTGATCTGTTGCAACAGGGTGCTCCCCTCATCTGCAGGAGAGGAGGAGGAACCGAGAAAAGTGGCGCACAAGGCCTTATAAAGACTTTTGAAATTGCCACCCTGTAGATCAAGACCATCCCCAGAAACATCATACATC